GAATTACTTATGCTTGATTGATAGATTGAAAGAGAGAGAGGGTGTTGAGCCGCCGTCAAAAAGAAGCCGACTCAATTCGTCTGTTCGGTGATGGTTTTGACTTCACTCACATTCGTCCAACATGTTGGATTAAGCTTATCAACCAAACCAGACGTGCCAAATAACGCAGCCCTAGTCATCCCTTTCCTTAGAGGGTTAAACGTTAATGACCCTCGATTGAGAGGTTAGGACAAATGGTTTCGTAACTTGATTTGCATGCTTACAAACTCATATTTCATTATCTCAAACATACTTATCTACGGACCTAGGCAGTCTCGGTCAAAGATTTCCTCTTGGGTCATTAGGTCTTGAGGATGAGAACAGAAGATTTAACCTTTTGACAAATCTCATTTAGGAACCGTATCGCATATAGACGCTAACACACACAAATATACATACTCATACAATCGAGCAAAAAAATAATAGAACCAGTATGAAAGAAAATTAACAAAACCATTCTATATCGATCTATCTAGGTTCTTAATTTTTAATTTTTTGACCCGATTGAGTCTGTATAAGAGGTAAGATTAAGGCGGATAGTGTTCTTGCTTTAGTGTCAACGTGCGGCTTTTACAAGAATGATGTCCATCATATGATGGACGAAAGCTCAACACGTTTTCACCGGAAACGAGGGAAGAAGTCTCGTGGATTGCGTCAACATGAATTTTGTATAAAAGCCAAACGGCTGTAGTACAACGAGTTTCATTCCTCCTCATCTGGTGAGATCGACCAACCAATCTCTTCATCATGTACTTTCATTCGAAATGAAGGTCACCCTAACAATGTTATCTCAGGAGATTCATCGAAACCAAGTTTCTCTTCGTATCTACAGGAATGGTAGTTGACTTTTTCCACAAGCATAGGATTAGGCCTACAGTTTCCGTCGGAGTTCGCATAGCCTTGCTGCCAAACAGTTATTCTCATCCCGGCTGGAGTCGACTGCAGTTTTGACCTTGCCTCAGCCGGTCTCATCAGCACCCCCGGCGGACTCGAACCCAGTTCGTGATAGTTCAGCGTATAATCTCGAAACGTTAACGACTACGCCGCATTGCCACGAGCGACTTTGGGTCAGAGGGTAGATGCTAATTTCAAGGAAGGCGAGGCCTCTTTCCGTGTCGATAAACAATGTTGTATTCGCTAAAGCAATCGACTATGTTACTCATTTTTCATTTATAAGTAGGATTTTGAGACTGGTAGTTAAATTTTTTCCCTCCATTCTGGCGAAATGGCAAATGCACAGTTGCATCGCCGACAATCCTATCATAGAATGTAATATGAGAAAATGCCTGGCTTTCCTTGAAGTCATCATCTGCCCTCTAACCCGAAGACACTCGTGGCAATGCGGCGTATTGGTCACCGTGTGGCACTATCACGACCTGGGTTCGAGTCCGCCGGCGGTGCTGATGAGACGAGCTGACGCAAGGTCGAGACTGCAGTCGAGTCCGGCCGGGATGAGAATAACACATACAAGGACTGCATAATCCTGAGCCTCATAATAACGCCAAACAACAGCACAGCAGCCATCTTCCGGTTCGGCAAACATAAGCTAATCGCTTCAGCACACAAACACCCTTTCACATAAAACTAAAAATTACACTAGCATATTTTACCTCCTGGCCTGGCCAGATCAGGACGCTTCTAGCATGAAATCATACTTTTCTGTCAAACCCACATTGGGCCGAATCAACAGAGCCTTCGCGCCGGGTAGTCAGGATCGCCGCCAGCGTTAAGCGATCATAGGTTTCTTTATTAGTATCACAACTCCTGCTCATACGTCTTTCTATGCATTCTGGCGTCACGCATGAGTCTTTACCGTTAAGTTGAGGGAAAAATCCCTTTGAGACTTGGGTTAATATGACGCATTTTGCCACAATAAAATGAGTAGGTCACAAGCTGTAGATTAATTGGGATACGTCGCTGACCCCTTGCTTTCCTATAGATGGAAAATTCTACGAAAACTCGTTTTAATTTTCAAAATGCGTTATATGTATCTGGGGCCTAATGCATGATGAGAATTTTACTTTTCCCTCTGACGAATTATGTGCAAACTATCAGACTTTACAGAAATTAGACAAAATTATATTTTTTTCGTATACAAGTAGAATTACGAGACTCTCATTAAATCAGTCATATGTGATGTATTCACCATATTTCGTATAAGGTAGTGGAATT